GGGTGGGTGTGTGTGCGTGTGTGTGTGTGTGTGTGCCACACACACACACACACACAGAGCAAGAGAGAGAGAGAGAGAGAGAGAGAGAGAGAGAGAGAGAGAGAGAGAGAGAGAGTGTGTTACATGCACAGATAGGCAATGTACGTAATAACTGAGGAACTGCAATGTGATGAAAAGGACTGAACGGACAATACAGTGCGAGTAGAATCTCGACAGACAATGTGCATTCTCATACATACAAAAGGTGCTGAATAGCGCAGGGAAGACTTTGATTCAAAGACTGACCTGACAGGACTGACCTCATTCACGTAGTTCAGGGTAGCGAAGCAGAATGCTAGAGTACTACTTACTAGCCCAATCAATGTTTGAACTCAGACTAAACATGCATGGTATCCATCACCGAGTGTGAAGGAGCCTGGCGTTGTACACAGGAAGAAAGCGCCAGGTCCATACATACACAGACGAAAAGATAAGAATCAGACGAAAGGAGGGAGGAGGATGGGAATGTCGTTAACACCAAGTCTTGGTCACCAATCCCAAATAGTCCCTCGTTGCCATGTCTGAACACCCAAAAGTCGAGTCTGGGTCAAATGTCACCAAGCTCCGTGTCTCTTCTCTCATAGTCTGCAGATGCAGTGAAGTCAGAAGTTGAGAGGGAGAGAAGAGATGGTGGACTGAGAAGAAGAAGAAGAAGAGTTCTCTCTCTCTCTCTGTCACGAACCAGATACTAACCTGTGATGTTGGTGCTATGCTGCAGGTACCTCGAAGACGAAGCTGGAGCAACGGCGCTGCAGGTAGGTACCACTGGCCTCCGCCCAAGCTCTCTCTCTCTCTCTAGTACTACCTAGCTATGGCGCCCAGCGCTTGAGACTACAGCTACCTACTGCACCCAGCGCCGAAGACTACAAGCTAACGCTACTACTACTACACTGAAGCGCTCCCTCCAGAGTGCTGCTCCCGAATCCTGAAGACTACAACTGCCGACTACCTGCCTCGGAAGTGCCTGGGAAGTCCTATGTACTACCTCGGCCTGCCTCCTAACTTCTGGAGGCCAGTCAGGCCGAGGAGGCAGCTCTTGCCAATGCCGAAGTGTGCCTTGGGCTGGCGTGCAGCAGCCTGCTTGAGGCTGGCGTGGGAAACAGACTATTAATAGTCTGTTCCTGAAACCCTGGTTCGGTGCCTGAGTTTCAGGGCCGGTCGTTCTGATGAACGACCGAAAATGGCCCTTCGTTTCAGGCTAAAAATGCTGTTGCCATTTTTAGTCTGAAACAACACAGGGACAGACCCTGGAATGCAGGCTTTCGGCCTGAACCGACAACGGGCCTGTAAGCCCTGGATTTCAGGTTTTCGGCCTGAAATTCAGGCTTTCGGCCTGAAGTTCAGGCTAGGACGCAGACCTGCAAAATGGTCTGCGTGTGCACGTGCAGCATGTAACACCCCCCCCTGTTTATGAAGTCAAGCCGGGGCGAGGGCGAAGCCGTCGATCTGAAGGTGGAACCTGGACGCGGGCGCGGCGGTGAGCTGAAGAAACCGGCTTGCCTTGCATCTTGCGTTTGTAGCGTGCGAGAACGTCTGGAGCTGTTGCTTGAAGTTCCGCACGGGTTAACCAACGGTCAGCTTGGTGTGTGCAGTATGCAAAATGCACTAAATACTCAGTTGGCTTGTTGCCAAAGCGTCGCTGGGAGATGATGTAGCCGACCTCCTGAAAACCATCCATAGAAGGTGGGTATTGCGTACGTCTCCCGGGAAAGTCGTCATGATCCGCTGGCGTGTAGAAAGCCAGTTTGGAGCAATGAAAGACTGGGTAGACAGGCAAGTGGCTAGGCACCTGAATCGTGAAGGAGGGTCCTTCGGGTGCATCCCCAGTGGGCTCTATGATCGGCCAAGGCCCCATCCATTTCGGAAGGAGCTTGCGAGAGACGTCTTGTTCAAGGCTGAATTCCGCTGTGGAAACCCAGACGAGGTCCCCGGCGCGGAATGGACAAGGAAGACGCTGGCGATTGGCCTGCTGGCTCATGCGCTGCTGCGTCTTTGCCATCTGGTCGCGTGCCTTGACAAGAAGCTCTTGCATCCGACGCAAGAAAAGAAGATGGTCGTCGCTCTCGGCCGTGCGTGGAGTAATAATGTCCAACGGTGACGTGACGGGCGAGCCATGCTCGAACTCGAAGGGCGATAWCCCAATAGCCGGGTGGATGGAAGAGTTGTAGGCCAACTCAACATCCGGCAGTCGCTCAACCCAGTCAATCTGGTCGGGGCGGATGAGAGTGCGAAGGAGAACCTGTGCGGTCTGATGCGCCCTCTCCGTCTGGCCATCGGTCTGAGGGTGGCGAGATGAACTGGGCTTGAGAGATGAGCCCCATCGCTTGATGAGCGCCAACCAAAAATCGGACATGAACCGAGTGTCGCGGTTGCAGACGATCTCCTTGGGGTAACCCTTGGTGCGAATCCAACCGGCGTAAAGAACCTCGGCCAACTCCGGTGCCTTGGCATGATAGCGACAAGGCAAAAACATGGCGAACTTGGTGAGTCGGTCGACCACCGTGAGAATCCCATCCACTCCGGTCTTGTGCTTGGGGAACGGGCCGGTAATGTCCATGGTAATCGCTTCCCTTCGCCGCAACGGGACTGGCAATGGTCGTAACTCGCCATACGGACAATGGTTGCGGGATTTGCAGCGTCGGCAAACCTCGCATGACTCGCAATAGCGTGTGACATCGCCGAGAAGGCCGGGCCACCAAAATCGCTGGCGAGGTCGGCCAATCGTGCGATTGACTCCAAAATGTCCAGTGGCGGGAGCGTCGTGGAACTCGCCAAGAAGCCGTGTACGCAAGTGAGGATCACTCGGTACGCGAAGAAGGTCCTTCCCCCGCGTTTGGACAAGCAAGTACCCCTCTTGGATCCGGTAGTGAGAAGGAGCCGGATTAGGAGATGAGCAATTCGCGTACTTGTCGCGAAACTCGGGGTCGGCTTGGTAGCCGCGGATGAAGCTGTTCCGCAGGTCGTC